GTTAAGTGTTCTGCCTCGTCTTAAAAGAGTTTTTTTCAGTTTTTCCACACACTAACGGGGATCTGCTTCTTCGTACATGTCGTATGGAGTGATTCGTGCGTACGGATTTATGTACGAAAACGTGCTTAGTTATATACTTATTCATACAGAAATGTGTTAAATTTTGTGCATCAACTAAAAATCATATGTTGGGGTTGGGGTTTATTGTGTGCTATTTATACACATTTATATCTTCATAAATCAATACATGTGACTTGTACGAAAAAGTACTTTTCCAGTTAGTGTACAGTGCACGTCTTTACAGGGCTTTACTACCAACTGCTCGTGTTGATGTGCAGCGAGCGGTATGTTGTAGCGTTTAGCGTGTCGCCTGTCAGGGCCGGGTCGGGCGAGACATCCTGGCACACTGTCAAAAAAACTAAATTACCGAGGTATTTTTAATGTTGATAGCATTACCTATTGTACTAGGTGGAACTAATCCACACACAAAAGCAGCCGTTGTCAGGAGTGGAACCCAAAAAAGTCTGAATGTAAGGCATCATCTTTGCTAAAAATTTGCCGACTGGCCTCGCAAAACATGTCATCAGGTGCCATTTTTTTTTGCAATGTGGCAATGTCCACGTGGCACCTTATCTGAATACTGTACATTTTAAACCCCCACCCATCTTTTTGAGTAAGCGTGCCTATAATTATTTGGTGCTTGGTGGCCTTGCGGCATGGCAGCTCATAGTGCCGTTGAGGCTCGCCAGTGGAGCCCAGAACACAACTTGAGCTTTGGGGCTTCAGCTCGCCGGCTTCCTATGACCGCCGCCCGTGGCCTCCACCGTTGGCCTCGGCCTATCGGCTCCACGGCACATCTTGTACAGGTGGAACATCCTGCATCTCGTGCCGCTTATGCACTTGTGGAGCTCCGGTGGCCCGCGTTGTTGCTCCAGCTAGTGGTCGTCGCACTTACAAGCCAGTTGCGCGTTAACGGAGGAGTGATCAATTCTTTTGCAGTAAGTAGTGCACTTGTCTGTCACTGACACGTCGTCAACTTAGTCTCGTTAAACTTAGCCCTCTCAGTTTTGTTTCGCGACAGTTTCTGTTTGACTGTATGTTATTCACTGCCTTTGCTTTGTATAATTCTAAAGTGTTCTTTCTTTTGTTTAACTTATTGTCGTTTCCTGTTTCCTGTTCTTGTTCGACTGTTGATTGGAATGGAATAAACATGGACGTTTATACTGAAGTGCAGACTTATAATTATCCACAATAATCAGACCAAAATTGAGGAAATAACAGTTTTTTGTTTTGCGCCCTGTTCTTTAGGGTCCCTACATAGTTTACGTCGAGCGCTTCTACCACTGCGGACCACCCTACGACAAGTTACCATGGAAATGGAACTTTCATATAACTCGCTTTAACCCAAAAACGCCAAAGGAGATACAACGTCTGAACGGAAATATAACGGCTGGTAATGGTACATACGATAACGCCGGCTGGGTAAGGCATTGCTGTTCTGCTATATTGCAGCGCATGGTACTGAGAAATGGAGGGATTGGGAAGGATTATCAACTTGTTCTTGATCAATATGTGTCTATTTTGCAGGCGAAGCTTAATCTTGATATTATGTCCAATAACCAGTGGAAAGAAAACAATTTTATATTTGAATTTAAAAAAAGGGGATGCCAGAATATGAAAGATCATGTTCCTTTCGTGTACGAAGCATTTTTTAACAAGGGAAAAGAAAGTAAAAATGCAGAGTGCAAAATTGAGCCGGTAACTAATTGGTACTATTGTTTACTGTTCTGTGTCAAATGGTTGCAGAGACTCGTGCAGGGTGAAACTTTTTGAATTGCGTAAAATCACTGCTTTCTTTCACTTACAGGGATTTTACGATATCAAAAATGCTGCAATGACCTGGGTATTTCCAAAATTTCCAGTTATGCCTTATGGACATTATAGGGCTAGATTCATAGCTGGCAACAAAATACCTTTTGGATGCTGGGTCGCAGAGAGTAGGGTCATTCCAAGATATGATTAGTATGCGCTTTGCTTCACATTCATTATTTAAGGTGGCTGTGTTGCTGCGATCAAGAAAGAAATGCGCCTGGTCGATGACGGATATTCTCTGTAATCGGCCGATGATTGCGATCATCGCGATAAAATATTCGATTCCGATGCATCGCCATCGACTCTATTGCATTAATAGCCAAATAACCGAATAAACCCAATTAATCGATTAAGTCCGATACATCGATAACATCCGATTAATCGATTGCATCCGATTATTTAGATTCCCGCCTAATATTTGCGTAAAACTTCATACTATATATTTGTGTCTTTCTTTTTGTACGAATTGTAGCAATGTTAGCACACATGTCTGCATTGATTTGAACACCTTAGTGCAGACATTTGTATGAAATCATGCCGCGGTTTTGCGCACAAATTTGTTCGAAACGAACGTTGTGTCGCCGTGGTGTCGCGGCATCTATAGCACAGGGAAGCACGTCGCAGAAGCGGCAGATCTGGACTACTTCCCAAAGGGAAGCGTGTTGAACTTGGCGAGAGTGCCAGCGTGTGAACTGCGCGCCGGATTGCACTGACATGGGGATGCGGCACTGTAACGACGATTATTTGAGAAAAACCGATGATCTATGGGAGACGAGCGATGTCGAAACAATGGTGAAATCAACGTCGAAACGCTATGGTTGCGATGTTAATTTCTCCCTTGGCAAGCGCCCCTCATTCTGCACGGGTTTGGGGGGAGGGGGGGGGGGTATACATCTAAGTAGAACGTGACGCACGTAACCAAAAAAAATTGACGTAGATATGCGTCGGTTTTGTAACTACACTTTTACCACGAAAGTACGACGAATTCTACTTAGAAATTACAAAAAATTAAAGACAACCGCATTTATCACAAATTGGCTGTAAATTTTCCGCTTTTTTGTCGTCATAGCGTTTTACCCCCACCCACCCCCACCCCCTTCTCCCTCCTGTCAGCCAGACCTGGCTCACGGCAACTCATTCGAGCCTGTGCCTTTGGAAACGAGTACATTTTACCATTTTTAAAGATATATTTTCCATGTCGCCTCAGCCGCATCGCCTTCAATAGCGCTTGTCCACTTACTCGCAGCGCCACATGCGGACAAACCATATACTTACCAATCAAATAATACACATAAAACAAAATGTCGCCGACCACCATACATCAATCGTGGGCCGCACGGCGCTGGCGCGGCGTCCCTGCGGCTTGATGGGCTGGCCACTTTATGGGCCGAACACGACATGTATAAATGTCCCCAGGGCTGGACTGGGACTGGGACAGGCTCTCAGAGAGGGGGGGGGGGGAGGTGAAAGCCGAAGCTGTTCAAACCGCCTTGCTCAATCAGGAGAGGGCCATCAGAACGCGCAGTTGGTGCGGGCCTTCCCTCTGAGGGAGAAGGGAAAAGAAGAGGGGGGGGGAGAATAAATTCACAGAGGAGGGGGTTCGGGGGAATGGGGTGAGATCAACACTCGGATTGCTGAACGTGGCCATCGGCCGCAGTGGTGTGGCGGAGGAGAGCGATTTAGCAAAAGTTAGTGC